TTTTAGATGCAGCTGCTGAACTTTTTTAAAGTCAGTCTTGCTCAGTCCAGCCTAACTGTATGTCGGAGTGACGCGTTTGGATCTCTCAGCTGCAGTGAACAAGGTATTCGATGCTCGCACCACAAATCTATCAGATATGTTGACCACCCAATTCTAATGATAAGCGAGCGTATAGTTCCGACATCTAATCCAAAACACAGACTCCTCTGACTGACATGTGTAATGGTTAGAAGTATCGCCCTTCTCATGGATTCTGAGAGCGTTTTTTCACTACAACTTTGCGATTTCATTCAAACACAGTAAAGTAAGTAGGTAGCACAAGTCAGCTTCTTTCTTTGGCTACTAATATGTCACTCCATTTGTAGAACAACAATGTGGTAGGGCCAAATGAACCTCTAAGCACTCAGTTGCAAGGCAGTTATGTGGTCTGGAAGCCGCAGTGGACCGAATTCCAGTGCCGTTTTCTAACGAATTTGAGGGTAATTGAGGAGACTGTGAATGGAGAAACAGCACCGCATTCCATCTCAATTACTGGTAAAGACTGTGAGTGTCAGCCTGAGATAGATGGCAATTGGGTAATACGAGTTGATTAACCTTTCTGATAGAACCATTTTTCCACTAAACTCGAACAACTTAATTTACGCATATAAAATTTTGAAAGTGTACTTTACTGTGCACATGTCGTGCAAAAAATGGGCTACTTTTCACTTTGATAAGACCTTGGACGATAGGAAGACGAGATGTTTGCAGTTTTGGCATTGCCAGAATTATCCTGTCAGTTTACACATAATAAATCATTCACGTAACTTAACGCCTAGGAACATATGACAAAAGATTCCACCTGATGTTGCGGCAGGCACTGATATAATAATATATGATACAATAAGCGAATGCTTGCACCACAAGCATCCACGAATGAACACCCAACCGGTATACTTAAAACGGCACAAAACACTAGCGTACATTTCAAGCTTACACCATGGTTCATCAAATTTTCGTCCGGGTTATGACACAGTATTTAAAGAAAGGGTAGCTTCGACCTATGCATAGCATAACATTCTGAGCGGTGCACTTCGACTGCTGATTACATTTTGCCCGAAGAGCCCTCAACACTTTCTTTTGGCAACCAGAACAGCACGCTTGTTAATTCATCTAAATTAGTTGCTCGCAAATTCACAAAATGACCGCACTGACAACAGCAAAATATGGCAGTCGCAATTTTTGAAACACGTGTTCGCATGTTTAACTTAATGAAAAGGTGATTGCTCTCTTGCTGCATAAAAATTACCTCTGGTCAGGGCTCATTGAGCCTCTGTAAAAGAAAATGAAACTGTTATCGACGGGCCAACCTCTGTGCGCTCGACCTGTTGAATGCATATGCTACGTCAGTGCACAATTTAGCCCTCCCAACCCGCACGCACGATTGCACCATCTGTCCATTATCCCCCAACATAAGGTCAGTTCATGAAAGAGAATACTGACAGCTTTAAAGTTTAAAAATCCTTCTGCCGGCTGTCTAGTTATGTGCAGCAACTTTGACTTCGTTGAAAGGCCTCATATTTTTGTCTTGTCAGGTTCAGCCTGTGTTTGTGCCTAAACCATGTTTCTAAATCTATCAGCTCTAGTGGATAAGGCATGCGATGCTTGCACTGGAAAACGATCAGACGTAATTGTTAGTAAACCCTAATTATAAACAGATGTGTAGTTCTGTTGTTTGACCAGAAAACGTTGGCTTCCCCGACTGGTAGATGCACTAATTAATTCGGTCTGTTGTAAGCACTACCGTGTCAAACATATCTCAACTCGGTAATGTAAAAAGGAAGCGCAAGTCATCTGCAATCTCGGCCTGCTATTTTGTCACCTTATTTGCAGAACCTCAGTCAGATGGGGTTGACTGTACCTACGAGCACTCGGAGGCAAGGCATTTGTGAAGTTTAGCGGTTTCGGGTTATTTCAGTGCCATTTTCTAACGAGTTTGAGGGTAACTTAGTGAAGTGTAATAAAAGTATGATTAAAGAAATAGACCTACATTTGATCTGAATTACTGATAAGGACAGCTAGTGTTAATTACCATCGGTAATAAGATTTGAAGGAACCATAGTGCGTAAATTCAGGTATTACAGCGCTCATGTGGTTTCTGTGTACGCCCGTCACTTAAGTATACTTGGTTACAGGATGCGA